TAGACCCTTCACATCTTAAATTCTGTACATTTCATGTGACAGTGAATTATTCATAAATTTAAGTTGCAAGTAAAGAGACCAAATATTTGGCCATAAAAAAAAGAAGAGAAAACAGGCAAAATGAGTTAGGATGAAATTGATGTCAAAAATAATGAATAAGGTTACTTGGATGAGTTATATCTTCCATGTCAGGAAACCATTAGTTATTTAGTACATTACATATTTGTTTCAATATGTACAATTGCTTTCTAATAATTAATACATTCAATAAATTTTCTAACTGTTAATTTTTATTTTTATTTTGGATAAAATGTAAATCTTTATTTATCCAGAATAATACTAGAGTACATCAAAGCAGCAAAAATAACAGCTGCTGCTGGCTACACAAACACAATGTAAAAACTAATCCTGTCAAAACTAAACCGATCAAAGCTAGCTAACATTTTACAACAAAATCAAGCCCCCATTTCTGTGCTATAGCTCTAGGTATAAGAGATGATCCTGGCTTATAAAATCCTAAGATCTTACCCTTACCTTCAAACTGGATGTCATGTCTGCAAGTACTGCTGCCTCACTTTTGAATTGTTGCTGGTGCAATCTTCTATTTCTTTCCATCCATATATGATAGACAGCCACATTCCAAGATAACTTGATTAGAGTGCAATGTAACAACTTCCTTCTGACCTTCCTACCCAACCAAGCTAATAAATCTTGCCATGAGTCCATTCAAGGGATATCTGTCATGTGGCTGAGTTCCTGCCAGATGCCCTTTGAAAATCTGCACTAAAAGAACAAGTATACATTTGTCTTGGACTCATTTTTGCATAAAACACATATATAATCCAAACTGTGTCCACTGCTTTTGACGAGCTTTGGTGGTGAGTCTGTTAAGAACAGCCAGCCAACTTATAAAGCTGTGCTTAGGAATTGTGCCAGGGAACCAATCAGCTTGTGCCATTGTTGTTTCCCCTGCCTTTCTCTAAGCCAATTCCAAGTTGCCTGTCTTGAAATTTCCAGACACAGAAGGAATCCATATTACAGAATCCTTTGCCCCCTCCCTCCCTAGGATATAGCTTGTCAAATGGTTCAATCTGAATTTGCACTAGCTGAGGTGACTGTGCTGGAGGCCAACACTAATAATTACCACTGATCACAACTGACAATTTTACAGAGTGGTATACTTGCAGGAATTATTAAACATAAATGTTAATTATGTACAGTGAAATTAAATTGGTTCCAAAGTTAGTTGTTTCTTCCAGGAATTATTAAACATAAATGTTTTGTGCAGTCCAGACTGCAATGGACTGCACATAACTAACCATCAGATGGGGGTGGGCCCTCCCCATCTGACAGTTTTGGTTTGGGCCAGACTGCAAAACCAGGAACTCATTATTAAATATGCCTTTTTTTATTTTAAACCTAAGGTGCATTTGGTGAAATGCATTGTACTATTTTAGAATAAGGGCTTGTTCAGAGATTTGGTTTTAATTTCATGTTTTCACTTGTTCATATTTAACATTTACTCAATCAAATGTTATTCTGGAAAGGTCTTGCAGTTTAAGAAAAGATTCCTAGTAATTTTCCATCAATATCTTACCACTCTTCTCAATAATTTGTACGTAAATAATCGGTTTAATTTGTTTTCAGGTGCAGTCTTGTTAGTATGTCATTTTCCAATTTCCATGGAGTTTTACTAGATTGTAAAGCTACCTGTCATTTTATTACATGTGTTTTTAAAATTCTTTTACATTCTACCTCATGCCAATGTTTTTCTTACCCCCACAAGTTAAATAACAAATTTGTATGATGATTTACGTTGTCTATGAATCTCTTCAGTCTTTGTTCTTGGTTCCTTATTCCAGGCAGTTAAATCTACTGTAAAGGGAATTCATTATGTTTAATTAATAATGCATTCATTTTGCAAGACTTGTCAGTGTGAGAGTACCTGCTGATCATTTTAATATTCATAAAATGCTGCCTTTATTGCAGGTAATTTTAGCTTCTCTCAGAAAATAACAGTAAAATATGCTGGAGCCGCTGCAATGTACTTTGTGTCCAAGAATCTGAAGAAGAAATATAACATTACTGATGAACGTGCTGCATTGTATGAAGCAGCGGAAACATGGGTGAATGCTCTAAATGGTCGTGAGTTTCTTGGTATGATTTTTAAATTTCATCTTCCATGGAAATCAATAAGCAAGGTCTACATGCATCACTTCCATAAAATGGTTTACTATCATTTAATTGACTGATAGTTGTAACCTGCATTGATTACTTGAATCCAAATTATATAAAATTTTTAAGGGCAAAAGGCTTGTGTTGGGGTGCAGTCGGATTTTGTTGCATGAAACTGGAGTTTGAATCATTGTATGAGTCTTAAGCACTCAAGATATGGGTGGTAGAAAACTAGAGAGATAGAGAAATTCATGCATGAATTTTCTTTTCTTTTTTCTTTTTTGTTTTCCCCTTAATGAGCCATTCTTTTTTTCTTCCTCCTTATCATTGTGTAGGAGGATCCAAGCCTAATCTAGCTGATCTTGCTGTGTATGGGGTGCTAAGGCCCATCCGCTACCTCACATCTGGTAAAGATATGGTGGAAAACACCCGAATTGGCGACTGGTACACCAGAATGGAGAAACTGGTGGGAGAATCATCAAGGATCAAGGTCTAGACTGCCTCAATTGAACTAGCCACCGGATTATAACATAAAGTAAAAGGAACCAGAGAAGGGATTCACAAGATAAAGTTTTGCTCCCAAAAAGAACTCATCTGTTCTTGGATGATTATAATTTTTGTGGATTTCAATTCAGTAATTGAGCATATTGAAATCTAATTCTTTTCCAAGCCAACATTTATAAACAATTTCAAGAATAAGGGCATTTTAGGATATCAACTGGACTCTTGCCTTTGTTTGTGCCATCATTTCATTCCTAGTTCTTTTCAACTTGGAGCATTCTTTTTGTTTATCCAATGTATCTATTCATGTGAAGCCCCTTAATTTTGGGGTCAAGGAGGTGTTATCACCTCTGTATGATGATAGAAGCTTATTGAACACACAAATAAACTCAGTTTTCAATAATTAATAGTTTGAGTTTTCATATTAAAATTTTTGGAGTTTGAATTTTAAGATAAATAGGGTGAGATTTGAAAAAGAATGGCTATTTCTTTTTGTATTGTATGTTTAATTATCAAAATTATATATAATAAACTCATTTCCTTTAATTTATACTAGTATCTTTCTTTGGGCAATGTTTATGTAGATCCCATTGGCATTTTTTTTCTTGCCTAGTTCGGAATGTATTGAAGTGAAGTTTCAGGTGGTCCATCTTCAAAATGAATGCCTAACACGGCCACCTTCATGTGTCTTATGCTTAATCATATGTAGATGCCCTTAATTACCCACAATAATGTCCAGTTAATCTGGGTGAAAAATGTTCAAAACCATTGCCTAGCCTAGGCAACTGTGCCCTAATCAATCTAGGCACATTCACCAGGACGTGCTTTTTACAATATTGTTGCAGGAAAGGGGGCCGGGTGGGAATGTGGCTTTTTTTACTCGTGAACTTATGAGAGGTATTCTTCTTGCTCAATGAGACTTCATGTGAGCCCTGCTTTATGTAAAAATTCAAAGGATATAATTTTTTTTTTTATGTAAAAATTCAAAGGATATAATTTTTTTTTTTTGGCTTTTAAATCACATAAAAAAGTATGAAATTTTGGGATTCATTTTTTTTTTTTAAGGTTTAGCTATTAAGATGTCTTGAGTTACATATTTTGAGATTAATTTTTTTTCTAATTTGATCAAATACAAGTCATTTAAGGCAGAATTAAGGAATTCATAAATAATTTGTTCCTCATTAATCTCTTTATAGAATAAAATTTTAATCAACAAGATAAAAAGTAAACTCCATTGTCAATTATAGAAAAAAAAAAAAAAACCATTGAATCATGTTGTAACCACAATAGATCAAAATCCACGAGCAAAACTCGTGGTAAAATTATAGGGTGATGTATGTTATTAAAAGAAAATAAATACAGATATGCAGTTAAATAAGATGATAATACTGTTTTATTTAATTAAAAATATAATGAAGTACGTGATAGAATCGTATGACTTGATTAAAATATGTTTAAAATTTTTTTTTAGTACATTTGAATGATTTATACAAGTTTTATCAAAAAAAAAAAGAAAGAATGATTTATACAAAAGAAAATAGATCTTCATTTCCTTAAATCCTTCCCTTAAATCCTTTCTGCCCGATTTAAGATTTAAATTTAAGATCTTCAACTTGAAATCTTAAATTTTTAATTATTGAATAACTGGGGTTAATATGTTAGAAATATTCTTTTAAAAATGTCACTTTTATTTGCCTATAAATAGAAGCATTTGCCATTAAGAACAAAACCATATTACAGAGAGAAGCACAAACACTACGTTGTAATTACGTCTCAAATCTCATGGAAGCTTCAAACCTTCCTAAACTTTTCTCTCGTCAAGCAATCAGGTAATTGCTTTTAATTCTTTGTTCATTCTAAGGTTGTATTCACAAATCTCATATTAATATAAATATTCTTTTCATGCAATTTTTCTTATTCTTTTGTAATATAATTACTGTCTTACTTCTTCTTTTTTTTTTTTTGGTCTAATTTTCAAGAATAAAATTATTGTCTACACTATCTAAATTACAACTCCTTTTGAATAGAAAAATTGTGATAATTTTATAGAGAATTATTTCTAATGAGCAATTTCCTATAAATGTTATTTAGTGACTAATGTTTCATAATGTAAATGTTAGTATTGAATTTTTCATATTTATTGATCATTATTCTTAAATTTGTTAGTAGTAACTTTTTTCTCCTTTAACAAGACTTTGGCAAATACACAGATCGGACAGAGAAAGAGACAGGGAAAGGATTCCCATTTGAGGCTGGCGAGGCATGGGATGGATGTTTCTCCCCGTTGCCTTGCCATATTCCTATAAGCAGGGGTTTGGTTGGGAGGAAAGTTTTTTTCAATTCTTTTTCTTTATTTTGATATTTCATGTTTTTTTTTATATGATTTTTACACTTTAATACTATTATTAAAATGATTGTGAAAATTAAAATTTTAACTTTTATTTTTCTTAATATAATTTTCAGTTAATAAATTTTCTTCACATATTTTTTTGGAAAACAAAAAGATGTCCTCAACTTTCCCTATATAAAACTTACTCAATAATTTTCTTATTAAATATTTCTAAATTAATTTCTTATCAAATATAAAAAAGTTAATTACTAAATAAAATTTTAACAAAACTTTATGAAAAAAAAGAAATCCTAGACATTGAGGCATTAATCACAATTATTAAATGTGTGGAGACATAATGCGAGGTATAGTGTGGAGCATAATATAGACCCTAATTTTATTAAATGCATCATATGACTATTATTATACATTTTGGCATTTCCTATTTTTTCCTTTTCTATTATAAAATTTATCAACTTTTCACATACTATATTTTCAACTATTTTCTTAATAAAGTTGGCAACTAACCAAGTAGATTGTAAAAGCATATACTTAAAACTTTTTGGCAAAATAATATAGGGAAAAGGTAAGATCATTCAAAATTCCATAAAAATTAAAAGGGGTTTGGATTTTTAGGTCATAAGAAAAATTGTTGAAATGGCTATGAAATTAATTAAATATTCTTAATGAATAAATGAAAATTCTTTAGTAGTGTCTTTAGATGGGGGAATTTGGAGGGGAAGGGGAGGAGAGTGAGGAGAAGATGTCTTCTTTATCTTGTTTGGATTTCTTCATTAATGGAGGGGTAATGG